TGGAACTGATACTTTCACTTGCCTGTAACGAGTTTAAATATAGTTTAAGTGTATCTTAATTCTTGGATACTATGCATATGATAGTAGTTTATTCTTGCTTTGTCTCCACTAGGTCATAGTTGCTGGACAGTTTTATGTAGATAGAAGCATTTTACAGTAGAAGTGACAATCTTTTAACTGTGCTTGCCTGTCTTGTTTGTTTGGTGTTTCCCTGTTTGCTGCTCTCCATGTTTTTCTAAGCCTCCGAGATACCTCTATGAACTTGTCCCAGGGAAAAGAGACAGAGCAAGTGTGCACATGCTGAGCACCTACATAGTCCTGATATGCCTACTAGGAAGTCCTATGGTTGTGAACATTTAACTGATACAGCCTTCATGTCAGCAAAGTGTTCAAGTATAAATTGAGTGATTTTAATTAATTTTTATTATCTCTACTAAAAACCATTCTGAATGCATGCACGTAACATTCCATGTGTCTCACCACTGTCATTTGTTGCTGTAAGTTAAATGGAGTATTTAGTTTTTCAGAGTGACAATGGTGATTAAAATGTAGGAACAACGTAAGAAGTTCTAAAGGTTCTGCAGTATTTAAAGAAACTGCTAAATTAACCTTCCCTCTTCTTCTTTTCTTTTTTTTTTTTTTTAAGAAGCTACTATAGTGACTACAAAGAATGAAGAGTCAGTGGAATCGGTTAGCAAGGTCAGTCTAAAGTTGCTTGAATCTGGATGTTGTAAGTACAAATTCAGTGTAAATTTAGTTAAAAGCGTATGGAGAGAGGTTACTGACGATATAGTTAAAAACAAAGAAAACTCTTTTTCTGGAACATGCATGGTACATGAGAGAGGCAAGTATACAAACTCAAAAAAAAGATACTTTCACTCTTTTGGTCTTAAGTACAGCGATATCTCCAATGTATGTTACACCATGGACCTCTGGAGATGGATCATGTACTCCAACCCCACCCTGCTCAAGCAGGGACACCTAGAGCATGTTGCCTAGGGGCATGCGCAGGCGGCTTTTGAACATCTCCAAGGATGGAGACTCCACAGCCTCTCTGGGCAACCTGTGCCAGTGCTCTGTCACCTTCACAGTGAACAAAGGTTTTCTTCATGTTCAGACAAAACTTCCTGTGTTGCGGTTTCTGCCCGTTGCCTTTCGTCCTGTCGCTGGGCACCACGGAGAAGAGGCTGGCCCCATCCTCTTGACACCCTCCCTTCAGATATTCAAATGCACTGATAAGATTCCCCCCTCAGTCTTCTCCAGGCTAAACGGTCCCTGCTGTTTAGAACATGCTGTTAGTACTTACCAATTTGTGCTTGGTGTTTTTTGTTCCATAGTGAAGGTTCTAGCTCATAATAAATCAGGAACGTAATCATTTTGTCATGCATGAAGGAATATTACATCACCAAATTATGGTGCGCTTTTAGCGCAGGATGTCACTGGAGAGAAGCTTCAATGTTGAAACTACAGCTGTCGTCCCCTAACGTGTTTGTATAGTTTCTGGTGACCCTTGTGTAGGGATCAGACGCTTTTTTGAACGACACACTGTGATGAGTTTCCAAGGTGTTGGTGTGTTGTCTTAAAAAGCGCTACCTTTGATTTGAATCCACTGCATGTTAGTCTTATTCAGTGCTTTCTAGTTGATTCTTTAATTTTTCCTTGCTGTTTGTGAGTGGATAGACCTCTACCATATCATGCTTCTCGCAATTTTTTTTTTTCTTTTTTTCTCTGTGCAGTCTTTCCTTAAGCTAAATCTACTTTGGTCTCTGATCATCTGCATTGCTGTACTCTGGATTTCTCCTAGTTCTGTTTATATTCTCTTGAGGTGCAGTATTTGCACAGTACAGACCTGCAGTACTTGACATTTGGGCATATCATAGATCTAAAACAGTGGCATATTACCAAGGTTTTGGTTTGGTTTGGATTTTTGGGAGAGTAAGGGAGAACCCAAGGTGTGTGCAGAATTAGTTTAACCTAAAACTATGTCCTCAATTAAGCAGCAATTAAGGTTATTGCATGACATCATTAGAGAACGGAGTAAAAACAAAAATTGTTTAGGCCTTTCTGCTACTGTATCCTAAAAGATTTAGATAATCCTTAGTTTTGGGGTAATTGCATGTATAATTACGTGTTTTTAAGCAAGTTTTTTCAGCCTTCATGCAGTTTAAAGGTGGTTTTACATGGTAATAGTAAATGCTCTCTTTAGTAATACAGCAGTTTTGATTTAGAGTTGAAGAAGGACCTGTAATATTTACTTCCGTTTGTTTACAGGAAATTGATGATATATGTGTGGTTCTTATTTCAAACTTACCTGAAAAAGGGTATTCTGTTGAGGAAGTCTCCAACTTAGCGAAGCCATTTGGAGGACTGAGAGATGTGTTAATTTTATCATCTCATAAAAAGGTACTTTAATTAGTATTTGGTAGTGTTTCTATCTAGAGAAGCAGCAAGTGTGGATGTGATAATATAATGCAGCACACATTGTTTTGAGATTGTTTTGCTAAAACTCAAATTTCTTATAGCTTCTTTTGTTTTTCTTTATTTTTAAAGGCATATCTAGAAATAAACAGAAAATCTGCAGATTCCATGGTTAAATTCTATACTTGCTTTCCAATGTCACTGGATGGAAATCAGCTCTGTATTGACATGGTACCTCAGTATAAGACTATAAAAGATGAGGTAAGCTTTTTTAAAAAAAAAAAAAAAAAGAAAAAAGAAAAGAAAAAAAAAGTACTGGAAATGTAAGATACTTAATGACGTTGAAATACAGAGCAAGATTTTGTCTTTAAGCTGGCTTTTTTCAAGGTTTGTTTTATTCTTCCTTTCTGCTAGTGTGTCTTACTGAATACAGATGCTGTTAAATATCTTTTGGATCCTGCTCTCTGAGGCTGTGAATAGTTTGTTACTGAACCAATCCTTTATGCCCTGAATGTGTCACGGTTTCTGACTCATGTAGTTTCTCTCCCTTTCCAGACATCAATCACAAACATTCTTTCAGGGGGGGAGAGGCTGGTGATACCAGAATAGCACAGAAGTGAGAGATTGTCAGAAGTGCTGATGCTGCTGGTTTTATTAATAAAGCAGAAACTAAAAAGTTTTCATTCCTCGTGTGGAGACTATGACTCCCAGTTAGCTGCTGCTGTTTTACAGTTCTGTTCAAAATTAACCTTTTTTTTTTTTTCTTTTTTAGGAAGCAATATTTACTGCTATCATCAAAGATTCTGACCCTAAGGTATGTTGCAGTTTGGATGGCAATCTAGTCTTTCGTTTCAGTGCTATCAAAATACGTTAATTAAAGTTGGAATTACCACCCCTCTTACTGGAACTGAAATATTGGCTGATAGAATTGTTATCTAAACTTGCTCTGTAATTAGTTGTTTACGTATGTTTTCATGCGAGAACGAACAAGCAACAGGAGAAGTAAGTGTTCGCTTAATATAGCTCCATGGTGCATGAAGAGCAAGGGATTAAACATTTAATAGGAGTCCTTTGAGAGCCTCTCCTTTGCTGTCATGGGTCTGTTTCAATTTTTTATTCTTTATCAGTGAGCTTTGAACCACTGTAGCTTGGCGAAGATTCAGTGTTTGCCTGTATAATGCTACCTGCTTTTTCAGCATGTTTTTGGACAGATTTTTTTTGGTCTCTGCCTCTGCACTTTCTTCAGTCCAGTGCAGCTGCATTAATATCTCTGCTCTTCCTTCACCGCTTTTCTAAATGCAAGCTGGAATTTGACTTACAGTGCATTTTTATGCGGTGTAGATAGGTAGAGATGAAGGAAATAATAGCTTTTCTGTCGTCTGTTTAAAAATATTTTGTAGCTTACCTTCAGGATACTCTCAATAGAGACTCAGTCATTGGGTCTGAATGTGTGTCCCTGGAGCATGAGAACTTCACAAGAGTGAGTTTAAGAACAGTAATATCAGACACTAATTGTACTTGGCCAAAAAGCATACTGCGAAGAGCCCTGTCACTGATAAATTATTTTCCAAGAAACCCTGAAAGGCTTGAATTTTCAATCCCAAATGATTGGGGACTATCTACTTTATCCTTGTGATTGTTGTTTGGCTGCAACAAACATCTGAGTTCTTAACGCTCCTGCTGCCTTATCCCTCTTATGTTTCTGGTGTGGTGAAAAGTTTCTTTTCCACTCCTGGTAAAGTGGTGGATAATGGAAGAAAAACATACCAAGCCTGTCAAGAAGGAAAGAAACCTCTTGCTTGTTGAGGGTGGGCGTAGTTCTGTTTCTAAAATCCAACCAGTTTAAGTCTGATTTCACAGGCCGGATACCATTTGACTCTGGGCCTCAGGGCCCTTCCCTTTACTGCCTCACACAAAGTATTTGGTGTTGGGGTTCAGCGTATAGTTCTGCTGGCATTACATTATTGATGTTAGCTCACTCTTACATTCTGTGCCAGAGACCTTCCTGGTAAGAAGAGACTTACTGGTCTCCTTGTTAGCATGTTCCCCGTGGTGGTAAAGGAACCCTCACTAGTATGGAAAACTACCAGTTTGAGTTGAACGTCCTCTTATGACAGTGGAGGCTCTGTTGCAAGGAGCCTACCGGTGTACCACCTTGGCATCGAGGTACCGTTCCTCCTCTCGGAGGAGAATTTTCACCCCGGGAGATTCAGGTCGAAAGGGAAGTCTCGCTGCCTGGGTAACTGGGCTGGAGCTGTTCAGCCACGGTTGCTTTTTTAGGTTTGGGCAGCTAATAGCTAATTAAATCTTCATGGCATCTTATATTCATAATAAATTCAAATTTTAATGTGATGGAAGGATCATTCTTAATCTCCACAAGGATTCTTACGAAGCTCCATATACAAATTGACGCATACAAAAGGATTATGTTTGACCAAGGATCTTTCTGTCATTGCAAACTGATCGTGTAAACAGAACTCCAACTTAAAAACCAGGACTGGAATCTCTCAAATAGGTTTCTGTGCCTTGCCTGACTTATAGTCTGACTAGATTGCACCTGCTTTTCAAAATACCCGATTTTATTTAAACTTAAAGCTATATTTTTGCAGTGTTTCTTAAAGTTTACTAGTCAGTTTTAAAAACTGATAATTTAAAATAAAGCACTGCATTTGTTCCTTTTAAGTTTTATATTCTTTACTGGGAAGTATAGCTGGTTCTTTTGATGGATTGTGTGGGAGAAACTGGAAAATCTTGTGTGAATCTGAAAATGTGAACATCTGATGTATGTGAATCTGCTTTCTCTTTGGGTGAGATCTAAGTGATACAGAGACTATCTATGGGATTTTTACTAACCTAGCCCAGTAGTTGTTAATGAAATATGTAATAGAGTTAACGGACAGCAATTTTTTTGATTACTTCTATTTAGGTAAATACTGAAACTATACATAATCAGTTTGTGCATCTTGGAAACTTGCCAGATGATGGATACAGAGAGCTTGAAGTAGTTTGTGTGGGACTACGCTTTGGGAGAGTGGATCATTATGTGGTGTTGAAGAACAAGAACAAGGTAAATCACGATCATCTTTCTATTGTGTGAAGCACCATGTTTTTAAAAAAAAAAAAAAAAAAGTTGATTTTTCATCTCCCAGTACCAAAAATGCTTTGCTAATGAGAGATCAAAGTTTCTGAATTGAATGTAGGCCTTGTTCCCCACCCACCCTCAGCAAGAAAATAGTTTTATCTTATTTGTTGGGAGCAATGGGGAAGGGGAAAAAATATTTTAGGCTGTTAGCTCTGCTGAATAACACCAAAACAGTTTGCCACACTCTGAAAGTAAAGCTTCCCAAAAGGGCAGGAAAAATTGTTCCTCTTTGATGTCAGAGGAAGAAGTGAGGGGAAAAACAAATCCCTGTTTTGTGGGAAAGTTGAGGGAAAAATCCTTTTTGAAATGAGAAGTGAAAATGTCAAAATTGCTGTGACTTCTTTTTTTGTTGGACACTTCAAAATGACTTGACTTTCAAAACACTTTGACATTTTAATTTTCACTGTTGCAATTTTTGCACTTAACATTGAGTTTAAATCTAGTTTGTAGAACAGAAATGCACTGTTTATTTATATATCTTTATTTTAATCATTATAAAGCACTTCTACTGCAATTACTGTGGGATATTTTAAGTGTCCAGCCTCTAACCTGTGAAACAGGTGAAGATGCTTGCAATAAGAAGATAGTATTTCTTGCTGTCTGTGGAACTACTTATTAGATTTTCAAATGCAATAAAGAGCTGACTGAAGAAAGAACTCAGTAGTCAGAAAAACCTCTCAGGCGAATTTCCAGACTTTCGACTAATTCTGTTGCATTGAACCGCAAATGCTTTAATTCCATGGAATCAGCACTTTGTCATAGCAAGCTGTTCTATCAAGTATTTCCTGATCGGATCTCAATAGCCAGAGTTGAAGCGAACAGCCTGAAAAGGCAATGAGTTTTAAAAAAAGGGGAGGTGGAGACAAGTGATGTATTTATATAAGACTGATTTGGAAAAAAGAAAAAAGAAAAATAACGTCTTTAAAACACAACTTTAGTAGCAATCACCTTTAGGATTTTCCAGCTGAAACTCTTTGGTCCTGTTGTATGCGATAACTAAGAGGTAAAGAAGGGAGAGATTTATTTTTTTTAGTATAGTAGATAAATTTTTATGTGCAGTTCATTTACTGTTCTCCTGATAGTCAGTTGTAACTTTGTGTGTTTTTTTTTTTGTTTTTTATGGGCATGTGCTTTCCCTAGTCCTCCCTCATGGGATGGTACTCATCAATTACAGCAGAATCAAAGCCGAATGTATACGGATCCAGAAGGCTGGACATACGTGGGGAGGGGAGTTCAAGGCACTGCTGTTTTGTAATGCAATTCTTTATTTAGTTCTAAAGATAATTCCAAACAGGAGAGATTTCTTCCTTCAGCCTCTCAGAAAGAGGAGAGTCCACTCACTGGTTTCCATATCCAGAACATACGTGATTCTATCAGAAAATGCTACTTACAGCTAATTTAAAATGAAGATGCTGAAATGCTTCAGAAATACTAGCTATCGCATGCTATTCCAACTTAATTTGTCAAACTTGTTCTAAAGTACGGAGATCAGACAGGAGTAATAGATTTTTGAAGTTTGTACTTTCTCTCTTTCAGGCAATTCTACAGCTAGATAGTCCAAAGTCAGCTAAATCGATGTACTGCTTCCTGAAACAGTATCCGTATAGCATGGGTGAACATACATTGACCTGTACGCTGTCACCCAGTAGAGAGTCTGCTGAGGTAAGACTACTTCTTTTTAAAAAGTATATTATTTTTATAGAGTAAAACAGTGTTTCCATAAAGAGTAGTTAGTGATTTAATGAAAGAACAGCAAACTGCAACAGCGAAACACCAGTGAGAAGAGTTGTTAGTGTGTGTTGGCCTGGATGGCTAAAGAGCTCTAACTGAGGAATGTGAACGTGAACAGCCAGGTTGCTAGTAGCTTTCTGACTTCCAAACGGAGAACATGTATCCAGACAGCTCTCAGAACATGGAGATAAAGTGCTGTTGATTCTACACTCAAACATGAGGATTTTTCATTTTACTAGTTCCGCATGACACCCTGCCCTGCGCTTTCTCATTTTTTCAGCTCCCTTCTCTTATCCTCTCTCAGCAAAAGAATTTTATCATGTGTCTATCCAGTGATTGACTCTTCATCTCTTGCCACTTCTTCCAAGCTGTGTTTATTGCAGGAGGATATAGGTTGACTTTTTTTCCCCTCCCTCTTGAGTTCTAGCTATATTTGCTCTTTTAAGCTAATAAAAAACTGAGGCAATAGGGACAGAGTAGCCAGTACATGAACGAACTTTCAACAGTTTTTGTCAAGATTCAGAACAGAGTGTGTGAATGTGTGCAGTTGGTTGTGTGTTGTGGGGTGTGTGTGTGTGTGTGTGTTTTTTTTTTTAAAATCTTTTATCAAACTCCATGCTTGTGAGACAGAGAAAGGTGTGTTTAAGTGATGATCTATGTGAATTCCATCCTTGGAGCCTTCTTTCCCTGTGTGTTCCTATTCCTTTTCAGTGGGAAGACTCTGAGATACTGTTGAGACAAAAGGATGTGCCTGTAGTGGAATGACATCTTTTTTTTAAAATTAACACCAAGGAGAAGCTTAGCTTCAGATGCCTAATGGAAACAAGGGCATCAGTCTGTTATTTCAACAGGGGGGAAAAAAATCATTCAGGTGTGTACTTTGACTTACTGTGCTGACAAAGGGGTCAGTAATCTCATCAGGCATCGCAATGAATTTTGAATTTTTTTTTAAGAATAAGTTGTCTGCTAATCACTGACTTGTATTATACTTTTTCTCTATTGCATTGGCAATTTCTTCTGCTTTCTTGAAAAGCATCTCTATTTCCAAAGATTGGTGGGTAGCTATATGGTGTTCAGGGTTCACGTTTTTATGTGACATTGTGTGTCAATAGAGATTTTTAGATGCCTGTTTCTGGCTTTCCTGCAGTAGTTATGTCCTAGACCATCAGAGATGCAATTCCATAAGATGATAGACAGCCAGATGTGATTTTGGGCATGCAGATGTCTTTCTGAAGGAGTTATAGTGCCCCTTTCCAAGCTGAGCAGCAGTTACTGTGCAAGTGTAGGTTCTGGTCTTTGTAAAATCCATCAGTTGCTTACATTTCTATAAGAGTGATTCTTTGAAACGTTGTCTGTATAGGTTCTGTGATCAGCTTGCCTTTCCAGCTCTTATGCATCCTGTCCTTCTTAGCCGTGGACTAAAAGGCTCAAGGGCATCATTTGTTCAGTAGAAGTATGTTAAGGTTTCTAAAAGTTAAAGTTTTTAAAAGCATAGATCCAGTATAACAACAATGAAAATAAATGCTTTTAATGCATTTGATTCAGAGCACTGGCTTAACTTTTCTTGTGAGCAGTGCACCTTTACCAGAGGAGTTGGTAGCTGTGATATTATGGATATGCAAGTGGTAGAGTAGGGCTGGCCTGCATGTGTCCCTTTGGACCTCTGGTGCAGGGTCTCAAGGAGAGACAGGGTCCCGTTCCAGGCGAAATGCTGCTAACTAAAATTAGGTGTGTAGTGTGTTCTTTCATCGATTCTGAATGACTCGAGACTGGATTAGATGTCCCAGAAGTTTTCCTCTCTCCTTTCCCCTCCTGCTGTCTCGGTGGGATGAATTGCACTCTTCTGACCCACTGTATTTTGTATTTCATTTAAAATTATCTGAAGTTTGCTATATAAAAGAATATGAAATACAATACTAAATGTTAGATGAAACTAGGTATGCAGTTAGATGTGTTATTTTTTTAGACTAGCTTGTGTAGATGGAGAAAATAACCAAATCTTCAGGCTTATGAGCTCTTTCTCAGGTACAGCCTATGTAAGTAATAGGCCCACTTAGCACTGAAAAATAAACAAAATATCATTCATTAAAGTACTTATGCTAAGGAATGTCCTTTAAGGATGCATTGTGGGAGCATTGGGTGATTCAAATCTGTTTTTTTTTTTTTTTTAATAGCTCTTAGCTATATCATGTGTAGCAACAGAATAACATGCCTTTGTTACTGTAACTGTTTTGTCAGAACAGAGTTCAGAGTGCTGAATGCCATTCTTTGTTGGCACTGTTTTCAAGAGAGTATTTTTTTTTTTCCAGCTGGACAATTTGGGTGATACAGAGCGCCCAACTAACTTAGAAAAGTTTACCAGCCATATAGTAGCAACTGATGCCAGTAGAGCAGTAGCAGCAATAACGTAGGCGCTTGCTTAATTGCATTCAAGTTTTGTGTTTGTAATTTTACTGATAATGTCTGAATTCTGATTATGCAATCATTAAAATGCAATCATTAAAACAGTGCTTACAGACATGGCTAATAATTGATGGGATTCCATCATTCGATACTTTTGTGATAGCAAGGGTACACCTATGGGGTTTATCCCATATCACTCTCCTTTCACGAGTAAGGAGGACGCGGAGCTGGTAGCATAGATTCATACGGTATGGCTGCAACTAGTGTAATTCTGATCCTTGTCAATAAAACTGTCAGTTTTTTGCACAAATGTTCTTTTTTAAAAAAAATCTGTATTTTGGAAACATGCTCCTGCGTGTTTGTTTTAACCTGTATCTGAGATGGAGAGGAAAATTTCTGAGCTGGTCACTCTGCGAGAGAGAACTGAGTTTCTCCTTCTGTTGTTCTTCGCTGCGTTCTGAGTCAGTTCCCTCTGTGTGTATTGCCCTTCTGAATTACATGCCTGGATACCATAGGAACATTAAGCTTGTAGCTCTGTTTGCCGTAAGCTGTTTTCTTTAGAAGCCTTTCTTACCTTCTGCAGGTAGTATGAAAGAAAAACGAACTCACTTGTAAGCGTCCAAACGTTGCTCCATTGTAATGCGTTCAAATGGCTTTAAGCACTTAATATTACTAGAATGCCCTTTGAGGAAGGAGAAAACTGAAGATTTTGGAATTATTTGCTTAAACCGCTCCAGTAAAGTGAATTCTACGTGTATTGAATTTATCTGAAAGCTCTGTGTAATAGAGACAGTCTTCAAATTAGATGATAGAATACCTTCAGAGCCAGATTTCGACACTGAAAGTGTTTGCAAAGTGTTTGTGATTGCTTGGACCTGTACTACTGTTATAGTTATGGAGCTTGGGTGGTTGGTGGTTGTCTCTTTCAGAAGATACTCTTTCTTTTAAAACTAAGTTTATTGCAGGTGGGCTTTGTGCCATGTGAAACAGTAAGTCATAAGTCTGCAGCAGGTGAAGGCTGGAAACTGGTCACTCCTCGTACGAGGAGAAAGGCTCTTGCTCCTCCTGAAGACTTACAGTTGATGAGCAGGCTTCGTGCTTCCAAGCTGAGGAGCCGGACATGGCCTCAAGTGAAGCAACTGAGCCGATGGGGCCTGTGCCGTGCAGGGTCACCTAGAAGAAGTGGCAAGTGATTGTTGTGGGCGGCTCCCTGCTGCAGAGGGCAGAGGCACCCATCTGCCAGCCTGACCACTTGTCTAGAGAGGTGTGTTGCCTGCTGGGGGCTTGAATCAGATGTCATGGAAAGACTGCCGAGGCTTTTCCACACATCCAACTATTACCCCCTGCTACCCTTCCATGTGGGCACCAGTGATACCAAGGGCAACTTGGAAACTATCAAACGAGATTTCAGAGCTCTGGGGACGGTGATCAAGGGTCTGGGGGCCCAGGTCATTTTCTGCTCGATCCTGTCAGTTAGGGTGAAGGATGAGAGGAGGAGTAGATGGATTGTCCAGGTAAACAACTGTCTGCGCTGCTGGTGTTGGCAACGGGGTTTTGGTTTCTATGGCCATGGGACCCTGTTTGAAGACTGACAACTGACTGAGAGAGATGGGATCCACCTTACTAAATGGGGCACGTGCGTCTTTGCCAACAGACTGGCCAACGTGGTGAGGAGAGCTTTAAACTAGGAAAGACAGAGGAAGGCGAGAGTTATACAGACCGCCCAGAGAGCAAAACAGGGCTCAAGTGGGGATACCTCCAGCAAGTGCATGCAGCCAAGGAATGCCTACAAGACATGACTGTGGGGTATCCTCTTGCAGTCCTCCTGGGAAATCAGCGTGCTCGAATTCCTCTCTGAAGTGCTTGTACGCTAATGCGCATAGCATGGGGAATAAACAGGAAGAATTAGAGATCTGTGTGCAGTCACAGGGCTTTAATCTGATTGCAATTACAAAGACATGGTGGGATAGCTTGTATGATTGGACTGCTGTCGTGAATGGCTACATGCCTTTTAGGAAAGACGGGCCAGGAAGATGAGGAGGGCAACTTGCCCTTTATGTGAGAGAACACCTGGAATGTATGGAGCTGCCTTGGGGTGGATGATGAGCAGGTCAAGAGCTTATGGGTAAGGATTAAAGGGCAGACTAACAAGGGTGACACTGTTGTGGGTATTTGCCATAGGCCACCTGACCAGGAGGAGGAAGTAGATGAGGCCTTTTACAGACAGCTGGAAGTAGCCTCACAATCACAGGCCCCTGATTCTCATGGGGGACTTCAATTGCCCTGACATCTGCTGGAGGAACAACACAGCGAGGCACAAACAATCCAGAGGTTCCTGGAAAGCACTGAAGATAACTTTCTGACACAGGTGATGGAGGAGCCAACGAGGAGAGGTGTGCTGCTGGACCTTCTTGGAAGAATCCCATGGGAACAGGGCCTAGAAGGAAGAGAGCTTGTTAATATTGAAGGATCGCTTTATCCAGACTTGAGAGCAGTGCATCCCTATGAGCAAGAAGTTGATCAAAGAGGGCAGGAGACCTGCGTGGATGAACAAGAAGCTCCTGGCAAAACTCAAACATAAGCAGGAGGTGGACAGGCCACTTGGGATGAATGTAGGGACATTGTCAGAGTTAGCAGAAACGCGACGAGGAAGGTCAAGGCCCATTTGGAATTAAATCTGGCAAGAGATGTCAAGGACAACAAGAAGGACTTCTTCAAATACATCGGTAGCGGAAGGAAGACTAGGGAAAACGTGGGCCCGCTACTGAATGGGGCGGGGACCCTGGTGACAGAGGACACAGAGAAGGCAGAATTACTGAATGCCGCCTTTGCTTCAGTCTTCACTGCCAAGGCCAGCCCTCAGGAATCCCTGACCCAGGAGACCAGGGAGAAAGTCTGGAGAAAGGAAGACTTTCCCTGGGTTGAGGAGGATCGGGTTAGAGATCATTTGTACAAACTTGACATCCAGAAGTCCATGGGTCCTGATGGGATGCACCCAAGACAGCTGAGAGAGCTGGCGGACATCATTGCTAGGCCATTCTTGATCATCTTTGAAAGGTCATGGCAATTAGGAGAGGTGCCTGAGGACTGGAAGAAAGCAAATGACACCCCAGTCTTCAAAAAGGATAAGGAGGACCCAGGGCACTACAGGCCTTTCAGCCTGGCTCAGTCCTCACCTCATCACCTCATCACCTCAAAAGGTGATGGAACAGCTCATCCTAGATTTCATCTCTAAGAACGCGGAAGACAAGAAGGTGATCAGGAGTAGTCAGCATGGATTCACCAAAGGGAAATCATGCTTGACCAACCTGATTGCCTTCTGTAATGGGACAACTGGCTGGGTAGATGAGGGCAGAGCAGTGGATGTTGTCTGCCTGGACTTCAACAAGGCTTTGGACGCTGTCTCCCATCACATCCTCGTAGGCAAGCTCAGGAAGTGTGGGTTGGATGAGTGGGCAGTGAGGTGGATTGAGAACTGGCTGAAGGGCAGAGCTCAGAGGGTTGAGATCAGTGGCACAGAGTCTAGTTGGAGGCCTGTGGCTAGTGGTGTTCCCCAGGGGTCAGTCCTGGGTCCAGTATTGTTTAATTTATTCATCAGTGACCTGGAGGAAGGCACAGAGTGTCTCCTCAGCAAGTTTGCTGATGATACAAAACAGGGAGGAGTGGCTGACACACCAGAGGGCTGTGTTGCCATTCAGAGGGACCTGGACAGGCTG